TTTTATATTTTTCATCTTCCTTTGCACCCATTGATTTTTGACAAATGCATTCTATGGTCACTAGTCACCTACAAATCTCGTCTCAGTCTGTTCTCCCGCCGGCAATTCCGAGCCTTCAGCAACGGCCCAGTCGGGGAATGCATCCTTGTCAGTGCGCCCCCACCTTTCGTCTACAGCAACCACCGGATCCTGTCCTAATCCTACTATCTCTATGTCTTCTGCTCGTCATCATCCCCATCGTGCCAGCGTACCTGTCACTGGCTCAACCTCCAAAGCTTCGCCTCCATGCTCAGTCTGTCCTGCATGCCCTTTCTGTTCCGCTTGCCCAGTTGCTGGACCCTCAGGTCTTGATACCGGAATCGAACGGATTCCACGACTCCATCGCCTTCCACCTGTTTTACAACAAGGACCCCAACATCCAAGTTACCGTCCTCCGTCATCCTCTCAACAGCAGCAACCACACCAATCCTGTTTAACGCAGACAGACCACAATCCCCAGTCTCATCATCATACTCCTTTATATCAATACCATGCAGAAGTAAATGATTGCTGTGCTGAGACGCGGCGGGAGGTAGAGCTTCTTCGAATGACAAATGAAACTTTAGTGGCGGAGATCGACGACTTACGCGAAGCGAAGAAAATTTCCCAGGTGAAGCAATCGGAACTAGAAGAGCGTGTCCAGCAGATTGACAAGATTGTCGAGATGCTTCGTGAAGAAAAAGTAAGCATTTTCAGGTCTCGACGCAAGAATGCAAAATTAGATGCACGATCCAATACGATCAAAATCTTTTTCTTTATTAGTAACTTATCCATAATAATTTTTCATAGACTTGGTATGAAAACCTACTCACCATTTAATGAAGACATTATAACATAATAATCCCATCTCCATCTCCAGGATGTCATCTTTTTCCAAGATATCCAGTAGTATATATATTATATATATAGTATATATACATATAGTGTATATTCCTTCCTGTCCATCATCAGTATGGCACCTTTTTCAGCCTGTAGGACTATTTGTTCGTTTCTTCTTAATTCTCTCTCTATATATATCGGTTATATTGTTACCATCCGTGCGTTGTTGATGCGCCAAGATTGTTGGTATGACTTCCATTTCCAGCTCTCTTTTTGATTCTTCTCAGAGGTATTTATCACCTCCACTAAAATGACCTTGATTGCCTTCCCTTCATTTCAAAGCGCAGAATTTATTCCCTTCTTATAAATCTCTGTAGTTTCTAGATCTATGCGGACGAAAGACAGATTCATTACTTCATCTTTATCTCTTGTCTGGATTTTGAGATCCTTCATTCTTGCTGGATGGTTAGACCTTAAGCTGTCTATATATACAAGGTGATAATCTGACCCAAATTATGCCATAATCTACATTTAATATCTAAAAACTTAAATAATTTTTGCTTCCGCATAATATGCCTCCTCTAATTCTTGCAAAGAGCTTGATATAATATACCATTGATCTAATCAGAATGCTATTTTTCCATCAAATTGCGAGCTTGACTTACTACGATTGTTACTACGATTTGATCTGCTGTAATCAGTGCATTGACTAGCAATCCCACCACCGTGATTAGATCGTAGATATGAAGACCAAGATGTAATGGCCTTCTGTTTGGTCGCAGTCCGCTTTAGCTTTATAGAGGGTCACATCATCTTGGTCTTCATATCTACTATCAAATTACGGAGGTAAATTGCCACTCAATGCCCTGATTAAAGCAGATCAAGGAAAACAACTGTAAGTCAATAGTGTCATTTAATCTCTCTTAACTGTTGCAAACGTTATGGCATTCCTCTTAGTTTTTGCAATTTGATGAGAAAATCTCATTCTGATAAGATCAATGATATATTATATCAAGCTTCTTTGTTAAAATTTAAGGAGACATATAATAGGGAGAGGGGGAAATTTGCGACATTTCTTCATGTTTATGACCACAAGAAATAGTAG